TTAAATATACTGTAAAGTAAAGCATCCAAGTAAATTGTAATTCTTGTCTGAAAGTACTTTCATCAAGCTTCAAGTATTTCAACAAAAATTACCATTAGTGTTCTTTCAAAGACATGCCTGTGGTTTTCGGCCAGCTCCGTGTTACACAACCTTTCTCTTCTAATGTAAACCGATGACTATGTGATAAAGGACACCAGTTAGACAGATAAACAGATGCATTAGGGGCATCTTAAGTAATGCTTTCTCTTGTGTGAGTACAGTTTATGTCAATGGAAAACAAAAAAAAAATCAAAGAAGACACTTAAATTATTGGCAATTAGCAATGCAACAGATGCCATGTAAAAAGAGGAACAAGTAAAATAATAATGAAAAACAGTTTTAAACATCAATGGGTAAATGATGGAGTTCAGGTCAGAGTGTGATTTCCAGAAGGGATGTCATGAGGGGAAATAAATGATTGCCCACTTTTTTTCAAGAAAATTGGTACAGAAAGATGGATATTACCTTGATTATTACTAAACATAGAGCTGGTGTCAGTGGAATAACTTAAACTCCATCAACGATGTCAGTGGAATACAGTAAGCCCCAATTGGTGTCAAGGTGAGAAAAAAGGCACTATCATTGGTATTAGTGGGATAAAATAAAACCCCACTTGTTGGTATCATGGGGAAAAAATAAGCCCCAATCACTGATGTCGATGTGAGCAAAATAAGCCCTATTGTTGGTATCAGTGGTGGAAGTAAAAGATGTCTTAATAGTTAGTGTCAGTGAAATAAAATAAGTCCCACTAGTGCTGGTTAAGCTCCTGGGCAGAGGCATAACTAGAACCTTCAGGGCCCAAGTGCAAGAAACGATGAAGAGCACCCTGAACCCCATCCGTGGCCCTTCCCTCCGGGCCTGGGGCCCTTCCCACTGGCCCAGGGGATGTTTACTCCCTTGCGGTCGCAAGTGCAACCTTTGCATCTCTGGTAGTTCCGCCACTGGTGTCAGGTTTTTTATTTATTTAATTTTTTTTTTACAATTTTATTTATTTATTACAATTTTATTTGTTTTACAATTTTTTAGGAGCCCCATTGGGAGGGTTTTGGTGAAATATCAGGTCTAAACAGACCTCTGATGTTTCTTCTTTGAGACAGAGAAAGGAGATTAAAGACACAGCTCTCAATCTCCATCTCTGCAGCCTCAACAGCACAGAATGAATGGACAGTAATAGCTCTGTACAGAGCTTCCTGTTCATTCACAAACAGAAGCATTTACTATGTCTCAGTTATGAATGAACAGAGTCAGTGATCGGTAAAGGAATATATAATTTACGGGCTCCTTCCCCCGCTCTCAATCTTGACACATCCTCCACAGTAGCCGGGGGGAGAAGGGAGGGGGGAACCCAGTAGCGCTGCAGGCCAGGAGGGCACAAAGGGGCCTGATATTTCGGGGTAGTCTTCTGGTCTCCTGGAAGCAAGGTATTACTTACAGGCTTCACAGGGGTTGCAATTGTGACCTGGCCCAGGGGCGGACTGACCATTTGGAAACTCGGGCACTCGGGTCAGTAGGGGGCCCCATGAGATGCCCCTGGTACCTTTTTCATAGGTTTTTTGAGTTTGGGCAAGGACACAGGGGCCCCATGATCCCCTATTGCCCGGGGGCCCCATGAGCTGTCAGTCCGCCCCTGACCTGGCCCCCTGCTCCACCTCCCCCTTACACCTATATAGGAGGGGCGGCAGCATGTAGAGGAACTGATCCCTTCCATTTTCCTCCTGCAGCCACTGAATACCTACAGAAGGGAGAAGAGGAGAAGCAGGCAATCAGTGGCTGCATGAAGAAAAAGGAGGGGATCGGTTCCTCTATATGCTGCCTCCCTCCTATCCAGGTGTACAGGGGAGCTGCACTGGCCCTCTGGAGCATGGGGCCAGGTCACAATTGTGATCCTTGTGATGCCTGTAGGTGCAACCCTGCTCCTGGAAGACCATAAGACCACCCTGAAATATTGGGTGAAGCCTGAGATTCCCAGGTAACTTGACAGATCTGCTACCAGCACAGTCTTTATTTAGATTTGAAGTAGGGCTGAAGCCTGCTAGCAGCTTGTATCCTAACAGTCTGTGTCCCATTAAGATCTCTGTTTAAAATCTCAAAATTGAAGCTGGAGGTTGCTTTAAAGTCTTAAATACACTGAAGCCCATGTGAACAGGGCATAAGGGAACACTACTTATGGTCAGCAGGAAAAGGGTCAGTACTCTGTCTTCTTCTTTAGTTCACTGTGGTTAAAACCAAGAATGATAGAGGCAGAAGGCTGAGAATGGTTGCAAAACTATTTCAATGAATCCAGCAATACAGTTTTAATAAAGACACAAAATTCCCCATCTGAATGCATAACATGTGAGTGAGGATTTAACAAACAGCTTTACTACAGGCGTTACATATTAGTATAACTACTATGAGTGTAGGAGTTGTAGCCGCTCCCACGCCCTTGAGACGTGGTGTAGGATTAGGACTGCAGCAGGCCTAACAACAACCAGAACTGGGGAGAAAATAGGGGTTCATACAGCATTGTGAGTTGGCATTACCGAAAAAATCCCCAAGCACAGTAACATGTGTGACAAAAACATGAGTGGAGCCGCTTCCTTTGAGTGAAATCATCATCATGTGTTTGTAGTTAGGGTCATGAAGGCCCAGTGTCCCCTCAGAATACAACAGTTGTTGAAGGAAGCATTAGAGCAAAACAGATGCTAGAAGGTTCCTCTGGCATGTATACAATCTGAGGAAGTGACCTGTTAAGTCACAAAAAAGCTGTTTAGCAGATGGAAAGAGTGGGAAGAGGGTGGAGAGAGTAGCCAGAAAGTGGACAAACTGGAAACATGGTGGTTTACGAATGGAATCCAGAATCAACAAACTTGTTGTAGCAGGGGACTTTCAGGGGCATATGTAAAGTGACACCATCAGCCACAATCAAGGTTGATTGTGGCACTTTATATGTGCCTTGCAAGTCCCCTGCTACAACAAATTTGGTGATTCTGGATTTATTATATTGGATATGGGCATAGTTGACATAGACCTAGGGTCATACTATTATACATGGTTTAGGCATAGGTAGGGATGGACACAGTAATATGGGTAGAGTGGAGCACAATGTGATGTGAAAGGAGGAGGAAGGTGATGAGTACGATAGCACAGGTAGTGTGGCAGAGAGGGACTTGAATGTTTTGATGATAAAGTCCACACAGGAGGTGAGCAGAATGATGTGAATTAGCCATAGTCTTCATATGGTGAATAGTGGGGTGAAGGTGATGCACAGATGATTGAAAGATGTTTTGTGAAGCAGCAGGTCTTGTTAGGAGCACATCACAAAGAAATTCTTGGTCTTGACACTATAAAATTGATTTCCTGAAGAATATGCACGTATGGATGCACTTCTATGTAAAAGCTCCCCCCCCCCCCCAGTACTCATTTTCTTATATTCCAAGCAGTTTTAAATATCTTTTAGTTGTTTTAAATACTAACCACTTACTCCATGTTTTCTTAAATTTTTCCATTTTATCTTCTTCAGTATGACACAACTCCTTCATCCTATAAATGTTATCCACTCTATTTACCCAGTCATTCATACTTGGTGGATCAGGGGCAAGCCAAAATTTGGTAATCAGGCCCTTAGCCGCACTAACTAGAGGGTATAGTACCCTATTCTTGCGTAGACCTATCAAAGATTCAAAATTATAAAATGTTGAACCCAAACCACCTTTCCTAACTGTGCCTTACTCAACGTCTCTTCCATATTCACCCAGCCTTTCCTATGTGAATTTAAATACCCAATCTATTATTCGTGAGAGTATCACCACTTGTTAATAAATCTTAACATTTGGCAACCCCAAACCCCCATTTTCCCTACACAGTGTCTCGTGCCTAATTTTCGTTTTTTTTATTTGCCCAGATAAACCTACATATCATCTTCTGTATTATCCCAAAAAAGGATTCTGGTATATATATTGGCAACCTGTAGAACCTATACAGGATTTTTGACACTATCACCATCTATACCAAGTTTATATGACCTATCCATGAAGCGCCTCCTTTTGACAACCTCCCTAATTCTACTTTTATTTCATTTACTAATGGAATATAGTTTGCCTGATAAAGGGCTTTTAATGACGGGGTAATTTTTATTCCTAAATAGTCTATTTCCTTTTCCCTCCACGTAAATGGGAATTCTTTTTGTAAGTTTTGCTTCTCAACTTTTGTTATTTTAATATTTAAAATCTCTGACTTTGCTGGGTTTATTTTCAGGTTTGATATCTCCCCATATTGTTTTAATAATTTCATTAAGTTAGGTAGCATTATTCTAGGGTTTACTATATAAAACAACATATCGTCCACATTTGCTGCCACTTTATGCTCCACTTATTATTATTATTATACAGTATTTATAAAGCGCCAATAGTTCGCTCAGCGCTGTACATTACAATGGGGGTCAGAACAATAACAATACAATGCAATGCAAAACATGAGGGGATCAAGGGCCCTGCTCTTCCGAGCTTACAATCTTTATTCCTGCTATATCCGAACACTTCCTTACCTTTGCCAGGACAGGCTCAAGGGATATAACAAACAAAGGAGAGAGTGGGCATCCCTGTCTGGTTCCGTTATACATTTTAAAGAACTGAAAAGGGACCAATGCACCTTGATCGCTGCTGATGGGACGCTATAAAGTCTTTTTATCCACATTTTAGGTCCTAGCCCCAATTTCTCTAAGGCATCCATCATACAGCCCCAGTTAACCCTATCAAAAGCCTTTTCAGCATCTATTGACAAAAGTAAAGCCGGCAAATTTTCTCTTTTAACCTTTTGTAAGAGGAACAATGATCTCAGGTCATTATCTCTACCTTCTCTTCCAGGGATGAATCCCACCTGATCCAGGTATATCCACTCCGGCATCAGGTCCTTTAATCTCATTGGCAACACTTTAGCATATAGTTTAGTATTGACATTTAATAAAGATATTGGCCTATAACTAGCACAGGGCTTGAAATTTCCACTAGCCTGCTCGCCAATGGCTAGTGGAAATGATGGTAAGGGCGAGTGTGTCCCCCAGGGCTGTCTTGCTGAGCAGGCTTGGAGCTCAGGCCAGATCTGTCCTTGGCACTGGGAGCCGTCAGACTGCTCAATAGCTGAGCGCAGTGAAAGCAAAGTAAGGAGTGTGTGCTGTGCTCTCTGCCTCCCCCTAGAGTGCAGTACCCAGATCTGTCAGTGAACAATGAAGTACTGCAACTTTTTATATGGGGGTGGTGGTGGTGTGTGTGTGTACATGTGTGTGTGTTTGTGTGTGTCTGTGTATGCATGTACAATTGTACATGTGTCTGTGTGTATGTACATGTGTGTATCTGTACATGTGTCTGCATGTATGTATGTACATGTATGTGTGTGTACATGTGTCTGTGTGTGTGTGTTTGTGTATGTACGTACATGTGTCTGTGTGTACATGTGTCTGTGTATGTATGTACATGTGTCTGTGCATGTGTATTTTTGTGTATGTACATGTATCTGTGTGTATGCGTGTCTGTATGTGCCTGTGTGTATATACATATGTCTGTATGTGTGTGTGTGTACAGGTGTCTCTGTTTGTGTGTTTGTTGGTGGCAAGTAACTCTAAGTCCTGGCTAGTAGCTCAGGACTTGAAATTTTAAGCCCTGAACTAGCACACTGTGTACTATCTTTCCCTTCTTTAAGTATGACCGTTATGTGGGCCTGCAGTGATTGCTCTCTCATTTCCAACCCTTCTCCTATTGCATTCATATAGCTACACATTTTGGGGACCAAGAGATCACTAAATTCTTTTTAATACCCCACCGTATATTCATCCGGTCCTGGGCTCTTTCCTTTGGCTGTATTTTTTAAGGCCAGATTAATTTCCTCTTGGGTAATAGGTCTCTCTAGGGCCTCTAGTTTTTCTCCTGCTATTCTTGGCAGTTCCACTTCCTTTAGATATTCTAGTCTCTTTTCCTTTATTTCCTCCTCTTTTTTTTTTGATCTCTGGAACTCACATCAAACAGATGACTGTAATATTTTTGAAACTTATTAGCGATATCGGTGGTGGAATATATCATTTCTCCTTTTTGATCCTTAATTTTTTCTATATAATTTTTTTATTTCTTTTCCTTTAATTTCCTCATCAGATATTTTCCAGGTCTGTTCCCCCACTGATATCTTTTGAAACCCTATTAAATACCCTTCTCAACACCTGTTCCATAAAATCTTTTAGTTCTTCCCTTTTAATAATTAACTTCTGATACACTTCTGTGCCTGCCTCCTTTTTGTGCAACCATTCTAATTTGTAGAGCTCTTCAATCACTACCTTTATTTTTTTCCCTCGTTCTTTGTTTTTTTTCTGCTCCCATCGAGATCAATATTCCTCTAATATAGGCTTTATGTGCCTCCTAGACTGTGGCTGTTGATACTTCCTCCGTCTCATTAAGGTAAAAAAAATTGCTCTATCTCCCCCCTTAGTCTTTCTTCTAATTTGAATAAGCATCTCATTTAATCTCCACCATGGTATTTTATTTAGGTCCTCACCCACCCTAAGCCTCATTGTGACGGGAGCATGATCTGAGATAGACATAACCTCTATATTGGTGCTAACCAATGACTCCAATTGTTTATGTTCGATCATTATATAGTCCAGTCTTGAATACAATCCATGTACGGGAGAGAAGAAGGTATAGTCTTTTTCTCTTGGATGTTTAACTCTCCAAGTATCCATAAGTAGCCCTTGATAAAGTAATTTCTTCAATGATTTTAAGTTCTTCTCCCCCTCTCTCCTCATACAGGATGAGCCTCTTCACTTTTGCTGTTTTCATGGTCCCCAGCAGTGTAACGTGGACTACTTCAGTCTCCTGTTACTTTCTATACACTTTGCTACATGGCCTCCAGCTGTGCACCTAAAGACTGTTCTACAGTAGCTTGTTACTACTACCTCTGTGATTACTATCGCTACTACTAAGAAAGACCTGTCCTCCATTAGCAACCTGTTTTGTTTTTGAGTAACTTGCATCACTTTCAGATCCTCTCCCAAGGTCACCCTAGTTCTATTAGCAATACATTTACAAAAAGATACATTAGACTTTTTATTGAGCCAGAGTGGATGAACTGCTGTTGTGTGCCTGGCTGCTTTGCACTAATTTGGGAAAAAACCTATTTACATCTAGAGTGGCCCCTATGGGGGTGAGTGCTATAAATGAATTGAGGCTGCATAATGATATATCCTCATGGAATATGTCCATGATAGCCTGGGCTCTTAGGAAGGTGGCTGAATGATACTGGCATTGAATCGGCTCTGAAGAAAGCACCAGTGCAGGATGGAAATGAAGCAGGGGACAGCACTGGATAGCAGAGAAGATGAGTAATGCTTGGCCACATTTTTTATAGAGGAAGGGGGAGCCATAATTAAAACAAATAGTTTCATTTGAAATGTATGTTAAATACCATTATGGTAATGTGGCTTGATTTTACCCTTTTGTAATCATCTGTACAGTAGTATTCAGAGATGGAGGGCAGAACCTGAGCCAGTCATAAGTCCTGCAGGATGGAAATGAAGCAGGGGACAGCACTGGATAGCGGAGAAGATGAGTAATGCTTGGCCACATTTTTTTATAGAGGAAGGGGGAGCCATAATGAAAACAAATAGTTTCATTTTAAATGTATGTTAAATACCACTATGGTAATGTGGCTTGATTTTACCCTCTTGTAATCATCTGTAGAGTAGTATTCAGAGATGGAGGGCAGAACCTGAGCCAGTCACAAAGATGTGTAGTACCCTCCTAGTTAGGTGCTAGGATGTGTATAGTTAGGTTAAGCATAGCTATGTTTCTCTGCTTACCAGAGAAGCTGTCAGGTAAACTCAGTGTGTTATTCTGCTGCTTAACAGAGTGCTGTGATTGATTAGTTCGGTCTGTTTATGGTGCGCTGGTGCTGTTGGAGTTTGAGTTCTGCCCACCTTCAGGAAACTATGAGAGCCTTCCAGAACATGGGTAGGGGCTAGGCAAAAGCACAGCATGAATATGGATACTGCCCTTGCCAGTTGCTGGGGAGGGCTGCCTCATTGAAAACTGGGAGTGGTATTTGTATTCGAAGAGCACATGGGTTCAGTGTCTTTCCCAGGAATGGATTGCACCAGCCAGGATGGAGGCAGACTGCCTTGCCTGACGTTTGCTGACATGAAGCCTCAGATGCGTTGACCTGAGGGCCTGAAGATAGAGAGAGTGACCCAGGTTATTCAGTACGCTGACTGAGGGGGAGCTGTCTGCCAAAGCTCTGCCTGGTATCACTGGAGGGTTTCTCTTGGAAGATTGGAAGGAGGCAACTATTCTGTCCTTGAGCCTGGTACTGACATTAAGGAATTTGAGGACTCTGTGTGCTTGCTACCTCCCCTGGTGTTTGATAGTCAGTGTGGGTCTTGTGAAAGGGAACACTGGCTAGTGTTCTGAAAAGCTTGTCCGAGTGTTGCTACTGCAAAGGACTTTGCTCAGCTACGTTACCTTTGGGCTGCCGCAGTCTGTCGTAACTGGCTTATACCTGAGGAGCTTAGCCCTGTAAGTACTGCAAAAAGGGACTTTGCTCACTCCTAAACTGCCCATTGATACAAAGTAAAGGGAAGTCTGCTATCTGCTTCAGCTAAGACTTCAAAAGTGCTCAGCTAAAAGATCAGCTAGATGTCTTCCGCGTGAATAGTTCTAATTTTGGAGTATCCTACTACAATTCCCCATCCCTATCCCCAGTTCTACAATAAAACTCCAAAAAGAAACATCCCCCTACACTGGTTTTTGGAGACAACAAACAGAAGTGTGTGTGTATTTAGTTGAGAGAATACACTGTGCCTGGCTGCAGGGCAAAGTAAGGAGAAACCAGGACATCATACAAGCGGCTCTTGCAAGGATAGTGCTACAGGTGTTACAACCAAATTTACCAAAACTAGGCTCCAAACCCTCCAGTCCAATGCTTGTCAAGATTGAAGTTCCCTTACTATACTGAAGGGTTGAAGTACATCACTTTGATAAACATCTTTAATGAAACGTGGTGGATGAAACAGAGGATATTATTATTAGCAAGTTTACCTCGGACACGGCCGATGACAAATCTGTGTACTGGCCCCGTCACCAGTGCCATGTGACCTGCTGTGATCAATCACAGCAAGTCACATGCAGGGGCAGACTGACCATTTGGAATCTCGGGCACTGCCCGAGGGCCTGGGGTCAGTAGGGGGCCCCATGAGATGCCCCTGGTACCTTTTTCATAGGCTTTTTTGAGTTTGGGCAAGGACACAAGGGCCCCATGATCCCCTATTGCCTGGGGACCCCATGAGTTGTCAGTCCGCCCCTTGTCACATGACAGTTGTAAACAATGGATGGCTTCCTTTCATACCATTCATTGTATACAAGTGTGTCTAACTGTGAATGGTCACAGTGATGATATGCACAGGTTGGGCCAATCACAGCCCATCAGTGTCATGTGATCAACCATGGCCAATCACAGCTAATCACAACAAAAAAAAACTGAATGAATTGATTTATTTCAGTTAAATGTTTGCTTATAGCAAAGAAATTCTTTGCTATAAGCAATCAATTTGTGTAAAAAAAAAAAAATACTGATCACTTCCCCAAAGTAGTACAATGTTACTATGGTAACATTATACTACTTTAGTCATAGTGTAATATGAAAAAAATCTTTAAAAAAAATGTAATAGAAAATAATTTTTTTTTAAAAAAAAGTGAAAATAAATTATCAATTTTTTTTTTTTGTACTGTCACCAGTCAGTGTCCCTGATCACAGTCACACCAGTTATATGGTGATGCTGTACTGCACTGGTGACAGTATGTATAAAAAAAAAAATTGAAAATAATTTTTTTAATTTGTTAATTTTCCATAAATTATGACAAAAAAATAGCATCTTCAAAAAACTCGACATGCCTGTTATGAAATACGTTGGACTGTCTACTTTGCAGAAAGGGGTCATTTGGGGGATATCTGTATTGTTATGACATTTCTGGGCCTCAAGAAATGAGATTGGCTGTCAGTACTTCAGGATTGATCAATTTGCAGATATATCCCATAGTTTGTGAACGCTATAACTTTCCTACATACTAAATAATAAACACTGTTTTGGGTTATTTTCACCAAAGAAATGTAGCAGAATACATCTTGGCCTAAATTTCTGAATAACAATCATTTATTTGCAAACTTTTATAACAAAAACAAAGAAAAACATTTTTTTTTTAATTTTCAGTCTTTTTTTGTTAATTTAGCAAAAACTAAAAACCCCAGTGGCGATTAAATACAAACAAAAGAAAGCTCTAGTTGTGTGAACAAAATTGTAAAATTTTATTTTGGGAACAGTGTTGCATGACCTCGCAATTGTCATTCAAAGTGTGAGAGCGCTGAAACCTGAAAAGTGGCCTGGGCAGGAAGGGGGTAAAAGTGCCCGGTATGGA